TTTTTTTGGCTTTTCTCCGGTACCGGGAACCGAACTCACGACCTTGCGCTTGCCAGGCAGGCGCTTTTTGCCACTGAGCTAAATCCCCAGCCCCTCTTTGTTTTTTTTTTTTGAGACAAGGTCTTGCTGTGTACTCTTTGCTGGCCTTGAACTCACTGTGCAGCCTAGGTTGGCTTCAAACTTCTGGCAATCCTCCTGCCTCAGCCTCCCGAGTGCTGGGATTACAGGGGTGCACCCGTGCACTGCCCTTCCTATTCATATTTTTAACAAGGGGAATTCCCCACATAGGTTTCCTCATTTTCTTCACTGTCTTACCCCAGAAGTATTTTAACTGTGGAAAAATATTCCTCTGGAAAAAAGTGTTGGTGGGCTCACAGGAAAGCTCCCCCAGTCAAGCTCCTCAGAACAGAGCTCTGCTCAGCAAGGGCCTCCATCCCCCGCCCCACACCGCCCGAAGGAGGCAACCGCTGGCCTGACCGTGTGCTTCTCACGGCCTTTCCCTCTAGGTTTCTCTCGTACGCCCGCACCATGCGGTAAGAGACTGTATAGGCTTGCTTGTTTTTAAAGTTCACGTCAATCAAGGGGCGTGGCATGTATTTTGGGGTTTCTGTTTGTTTGACCCCATCTTATAACTGAGATTCACCTCTTCTCACAGCTGTGCAGGGTGTACTTTCACACACGTTAGCTACCCGTTACAAACAATGTTGCCAAGGATATTCTTGGGTGTGTCTTGTGGTGCACCGGGGCAAAACTGTCTTTAATCTGGCAGCCAGAGGGTAGGGCATGCGCTGTACAATAGGCTACAGGGTACACGCTCAGTTTCCAGTTTATTAGGCAATGCCAGTGATTTCCAGAGGCTGGATCACTTTGCACTCTTCTCCAAGGTTTATTCACTGTGCCACTTTCTTCCTTTGGAAATGCCTTCTCTGGTTTTTGACCATTTTTTTCTACCACACTGTCTTTTCTTTATTCATTTTTGGGATTCTTTCAGAATAGTCAGGAACCTAGGACTTTTGTCAAATACATGCTCCAAATACGTGTTTCTGTCTGTGCTTTCCCTTTTTCCTCTCTTTAAAATACATTTGGATGAAGAGAAATTCTCACTTCAGCTTCCAATCCAGCTATTTTTAATTTTTGTGTGGTTACGGATCTGAATATAATCTGTAGTGTAGTCTAGAATCCCAGAATTTGACAATAAAGCGACAGTGTAAAACCTTCCAGAAAATAAATGTAACTGGAAAATTCGGTAAAAAGCCAAGTTAGAGTCATGAAAATCCGAATGGCCCAAACAGGCCCTACTTACGCAGGAGGACTGTCGCCGCAGTACTTTCCAATTCTCTGAGCATCGTTCACTTCTCCGCCGTTGAACACAGCCACGAAATCGTATCGACAGTAGTTATCTCGCTCTACATCAAACTTCTCAAATTTTAATTCTATAAGCTTTGGAGAAAGGACAACATCCAAGTGTCAAAATAGCACTTTTTTTTTTTTTTGCTACCTGGAATCAAACTCACGACCTTGTGCTTGCCAGACAGGTGCTGCACTGCTGAGCTATATCCCTGGCCCAAAATAGGACTGTTGAACAACCTCCAATAGAATTTTTCTTTGTTTAAAAAAAAAAGTATTCGTTCTCTTTAAACGATGTTTTCCTTGTTGCCATGTTTCTTACTGCGTTAACCAAACTGTGGGATTCTTTTTGCTTTCATTTTTAATCACTGCGTAATGGTTTAAGTATTTCAGTAATATAAGTCTTCCATTATTAAATAAATGATTATATTTTTCTTCTTAAAGATAAAAATTAGTTTGGGGATTATGATTAAAGTGTGTACATAAGTGTATGTGTTTGAACACGAGTTTACACCACTGACCTGCATGGTATATTGACCTGAATAATTATCCATTTTAAAAATAAATGTATGGCAGATAGTACTTGTGCAAGGTATATGAAAGATCAATTTTTTAAAAAAGAAAAACAGTCACAATGTTCACCTTACTATTTGGGTTAAATTCTACAGTGTTTGCAATAATATCATTTTACAAAGCTAGATTTAAAAGTTCACAAAGTAAGTTGTATTTATTCCTTCACCAAGTTCTGTCCTACAATTTAAATCTGAAAGTGATTCCCAGAAAGTGCAAAAACTCATGGGACGACAAACTAATAAATACTAGAAAACTACAGCTTCTCTTTTGAGTGTTTTAGAACAATAAATAAAGTTACTTGTGGAATTTATACAATTTTTATAAAACAACCACCAAAACACCCTAAAGGAGAGTAGCTTTCACGTTGGACACCTTGCTAAAGAGCTGATACGGCTTTTGCTGGCTTTGTTGAAGGGAGGAACATACACTGTCTTCGACTGGGTGATCGGGACAACTGCGACAGGATGAGTTTGCTGTGTGGGAAAATGGGACCTTGAAATGTACATATATCTGAGGATTTTTATCTGCCCACGATTACTCACTACTACTTATAACAGCATGTTTGTAATACCTGCCCCAGGGGTAAGATAATCTTATGTGAAATTTGCCTACCATTTGTTTTGAGAGTTGTCATTATATAACAGAAAATTAAATTCATTTGATTTTGCAAGTCAAATAATGCAAAAGGCAATATTTACTGGGTCTTCATCTGAAGAAATACCTGTTCCTGGGGGGATCTTCTTCTTTCTATAGTCTCAGTTTTTTTGCATGAGCACCACAGCCAGAGGCTCCTGAGAGGTGGCCCCCCCACTATCTGGGAGTGCCTCACACACACACACAACACACACACACACACACACACCCTCTTCATGGTTTCAGGGAGCCTCACCTGATTTTTGGGGGCTATGATGTGCCATATACACGTGACTCCTACAGGATAATCCCGGTCTGGCCAGTTGGGGGTTTTAAAAGAGCCCAAAGGTCTTTCAAGGCGTCCTCCACAATACTGGTCCCCTGAAGTCATTAAATGTGGAAAAAAAATCCCACAAGTTTATATCCTGACACAGGTTAAAGAAATACCACCAAATAGAGATCAGCGATGTGGAATATTAGGGGATAGAACAGTAAATCCAGGCAACAGCAGCAACTTATATTTTCTCTAAATAATTACACAGATAACCTGCTACATGCACAGACACACGTTCAGGCACACACACCGTGACCTTTATAATTGCTAGTGTAGCACATCAGCACAAGATAGGGAAGTAGAGTCAGAGCCGTAAGTTCTTTTTTTCTTGGGAGGGGGAAGCAAACACAAAACATCCAGGAATGTGAGCTTGCGGCTCATTTTCTTAGATTCTAAGAATTCTCAAGGTATTTATTAAGTGCCCATGGACAAAAATTTGAATTAGTATAGGCAACACTAATTACTAGAAAACTTTACATGATACATATATCTTTAGTAACATTTTGTTTTTGTGAAAATGCATATGTATAAACTTTCAGCGATATAGGAAAGTACAAAGGACAAAGTAGAAAAACTCCCCAAATTCTACCACCCAAAACTAACAACTAAATAGTTGAAAAATATTATTTCAGATATTTGACATATGTACTGATATGTAACGTACTATACTATACCAATACAGTGACAAATGATTTTAGAAAGTTATGTTAATACAACGTCCTAAATTCTTTTAGAAAGTTATATTAATACAAGGTTCTAAATTTAATTGCACCTGAATTTAATAAATAAAAACTGAGTTATAACTAAAGGAATTAATACACCTTATTGAAATAGTTTTTTTTGACACAGGCAATCATTCTTAAAACAGATCTCTAAATTTAAGAAAATGCATTCTAGAAATCGAGTTTGGAATAATTTTTGGAACTCTTTTTTTATTTTTTGGTACTGGGGATCGAACTCAGGATAGCGCTTGTGCTGCTGTGTTATATCCTCGACCCTGGAACTCTTTTGTGTTTTTTGTTTTTTTTTTTTCTGGTACCGGGAATCGAACTCACTACCTTGCGCTTGCCAGGCAGGTGCTGTGCCACTGAGCTAAACCCCCAGCCCTTAATAATTGACTCATTTTTTTGTTGGGGGGGGTACCTGGAATTGAACTCAGGACCTTGCACTTGCCAGGCAGGCACTTGTGCTGCTGGGCTAGTCTCCGGCCCTGACCCTGGAACTCTTAATAGAAAAATTTCAAGCATATACGAAGTTAATAGAATAATGTAATGATCTTCCACGTATTGATCACCAAGTTTCAACAAATATTATTCTATATTCTATCTATATTGCTACCAGCCGTTTTATTTTATTTATTTTTTTTTTGTTTTTTCTCTGGTACCGGGAACCGAACTCACGACCTTGCGCATTATTTCATAGGTTTGGGGGAGATAAACTCATAAACATTGAAACACACAAACCCCAGCTATGCAAGTTTGAAAAACAGATGCACCTGTGTGAGCCGTAGTCCTATGACACTATAGAGTCCACGCCTCACAGCATTTCTGCAGCCTTCCCCAAGCTGGCAGTTCCTCATTTTACTTTTCTAAAAATTTTCACTTTCGTTTTGTGCTAGAGCTCCCTATAAATGGAATCGCATAGAGGCGCTCTTCTGAATCTGGCTTCTCTTGCCTGTCATAACGTGTAAGAGACTTGTGTGGCTGTTTCATCGCTGTGGTCTGTTCCTTCCCATTGCCCAACAGTATTCCACAGCATGGAAACGGTACCAAGTGCTTCCTCATTCTCCTGCTGCAGCTCACTGAGTTCTTTCCAGGTGAGGCCATTATGAATGAGACTGCTACAAATATTTTTGTGCAAATCTTTGTGTGGATATGAGCGTTCACTTTTTTGCATACCTACCCAGGAGCACAATCACTGGGCCAAGAGTAGATGTAGACGTTGAACTTTATAAAAAACTTCCCAAACTTTAGTCCAAGTATTTGTATCATTTCCTAGCGCTCAAGGTCTGAGCGCTTTGGCTGCTTCACGTACCTGCCGGCATGTGTGGCTGTCAGTGTTTTAGACAGCGTGGTGGGTGAGGAATGGTACCTCACTGTCGTTTTAATTTGCATTTTCCTGATGACTCATGAGATTAGACAATTTTTCATGTAATTATTGGCCATTCATATCTTCCTTTAAGAAACGTACATCTAAGTGTTTTACCCATTTTCACATTTATTGAGACTTTTATTTATCTATTTATTTATTTATTGAGTTGTACCATCTTTAAATATTCTGGATACAAATCCTTAGCAGGCATTTTGGTGACTATTTTCTCTAATTCTTTAAGTTGCTTGTTCATGTTTGTAACAGTGTCTTTTTTTATAAGCATTAGTTGTAATGAAGTTTGCAGAGCACATATTTTTTCGTCCTCTTACTTTCGATTATTTGGTCTTTGTATTTCAGGTGCTTTCTTGTAGACGACATACAGCTGAGTCTTGTTTGTTAATTCAAGAACTGTCTTCCAACTGGCGTACTTAATCCTCTACGTTTAACACACTGACCGATATGTTTGGATTTGGTGCGTCGTGTACTATTTTTCTTTTTGCCTCATCCTTCTTTGATTCCATCTGCTGTTCCTTCCAGCTGGATACTTTTCAGTGTTCCATTTTCACCTTTTGGCTTTAGCTGTAACTCTTATATTTTTAATGTGCACTGTAGAGATGAGAATGTGTATATTTAGCCTATCACAGTGTACCCAGTTACCACGGTGCTTTATGTACTGTGTATGTGTGTATGTGCGGCAGTACAGTTCCATTTACCTCCCACCCCTTGCTTGCCAAACACATACATTGTATGTTCCATCTACAGTGCTAATTCTTTTGCTTTGAACAGGTAAGTGTGAGGAAAATAATACGCACTCTTTCCCATTCACCATTTCCCATGATTTTCATTCCTTCCACTATCTTCGAGGTACCCTTTGGGGCTATTTCCCTCAACCTAAATAACTTCAGTATTTCTTGCGGTATATGTATAAAAACGTCTTTCAGATAGTTATAGTGCTTATTTGAAAATGCTTTCATTTCCCTATCATTTTTGGAGACTGTCAACAGGATCTGGGTTGGCAGTTTTATTCCAGGACTTGAAGAATGCCACGACATTACCCTCTGCCCTCCTTAGTTTCTGGTTAAAAGAAAACCATCACTTACACTCCCGTTCTGCATGTAACTTGGCTTTATCTGCTTGACTTCCAGATTTTATTTGTATCTTTAGATTTCTGTAATTTATGATGTGATGAGGCATATGGCTTCACGTTTTTATTTATCTTGTTCAGAACTGTTGAACTGTTTGCCTCTATCAACCAATGCTCTTCACCAAGTTTGGATTGAGTCAAGTCATTATTTCCTTATTTTATGCACTGTTACTACTTCTTCTGAGAGAAAAATTACCGATGTATTAGACCATTTGATATTATCTCACTGATCTCTGAAATTCTTTTTCTTCAATGCTTTTCTGCCTGCTTCTTCAGATTAGATTATTTCTATTCAAGTTTACTGACTCTTTTTCTGTCATCTCTAAGTAACTGGGAGACCCACCAGGTAAAAATTTCAACATCGGATTCCCTATCTGCTATCTCTAGAATCTTTGTTTTGTTTTATTTTGTTCTGAGACAGAGTCTCACTATGTAGTCCAGGCTGGCCTTGAACTCATAATCTTCCTGCCCTGGTCTCCTGAGTGCAGGGATCACAAGTGTGTGCAATCATGCCCTACCTCACTTGATTCTTTTTTTTTTAATAATAATTTTTGCTTCTCATCTGTTTATTTAGTCTACATATATTTCCCTGAAACAAATTTGTAATTGCTGCTTTAAAGTGCTTGTGAGCTAATTGCAGTATCATGGGTCTTTTTATTGGCTGCTTTTTCTCTTGAATATGGGACACACTTTTCCTGCTGCATTACATGAGCAGATCCTGGACATTACAAACGATACACTCTAGCTTCTGTCGAGTTCCTATGAAAAGTGCTGTTTGACCTAGTGTATAACTTGGCTGGACTCAAACTCAAAGTCTGTCTCCAGGCCAGTGGGCAGCAGCTGTAACCTCTGTTCAGTTCTTTCATACTCCAGCTCATGGATTAATGCCAGGCCAGTTGGCTTCTCCCTTAGAGTTGGATAAAATTTACATGTATACTTTGGACTTCAATTCTTCTGTAGCTCCACGGTAGGATTTCCTCCCCAACATTACTGCTGCTCTGTTAGAGCTAAATCCTGTCTTCTCACATCTCAGGCTGATGGTATTGCATTACAGCCCAATCCCAAGGAAGACTAGGGAGTTTTCTCTGACGAAAGGATAAAAACTCACAAATCTTTCTTGCTGCAATTATTTTTCAAGGTTACTATCCCTAAGGAGCTCACATGTGCTGACATGAAAATATCCTGAGACAGTGTTAAATAAAAAGAAAAAGAATATTAAAAGAATGTAAAAGAATATTAATATGATTGCACTTACACTTTAAAAGATATTGTAAAAATACATAAATATAAATAAGCATATGTATAGATATAGAAATTATTGGCCATAGCTATTTCTGAAGAGGAGATCATAGTAGGTAAAATGCAAGCTTCACTTTTTACCCATGAATTTCTATATTTGAATTTTTACAAGAATGTATATGGACTTTTTAAAAGATTGAGTTTTTTGTTTTTTTTTTTTGTCTTTTTTTTGGCAGGGTCTTGCTATGCAGTTCAGGCTGGCCTTGAGCTCACTTTGTAGCTCAAGCTGGTCTCGAACTCACAACGGTCCTCCTGCTTCAGCCTCCCAAGTGCTGGGATTCTAGGCATGTGCCACCATGCCCAGCAAAAGATTTGAGTTTTAAACAGTGTCTTGGTGGTTTAAAGTTTCTTCTGCAACTCTCTGTTTCAGAAGAACTGCTCTTAAGCTTTACATTACATGACTAACATATACAAAGTGTCAAGAACTGTGTCTGACACACAATAGCATTCGATCAGCACAAGCCAGCACCACTGCTGTTACAGGGAAACAGTACCTCTTTCATTGGGTTCGGAGGCAGAGAACATGGCCATGAAGCCGTTTCCTGCTGTATTGGCATCGGAAATCATCTTCACCATCATCTTGTTCCCACTGGACACCAGGGCTCCAGGTCGGAATGTGCCGCAAAAGCGGCCCATGCGCTGGCCGTTGGTGTGGCCATTGTACACGTCCACAAAGTCATAGCGGCACAGGTTGTCGCTCTCAAGGTCTATGAATCGGAAATTAAGGACGACTACTTTCCCCTCAGGAACCTGCAGAAAGAAACAAGGGCCAAACAGAAAACTGTGTCACGAAAACATCTGACGCCTTCACAACTAGCCAAGCACTAAAATGATCACATAAAAAAACAGAAGAGGCAAAGGGTACAGCTGAGGCTAAGGCTCTGGGTTCGATCTCCAGTTCCACAAGAAAAGGAAGGGGAAAGGAGAAAGAAAGCACCCGAGATGTTTTCCTTTCTCAAATCTGAACTACGCCAGGGAATGTTTTCCAGCATGTGACATTCCTAATAAAATACAAGTAATCTCTTTAACAAACTCTGCAATTCTCTAAGGTACACAACCTAATTCATCAAAGAGTTTACTCTCACCAAGTTTCAAAAGAGTTGGATTGGTCTTACGTGAGAAATCATTGCTTACAAAGAATATCAGTACTTACTGGACCACAGTACATAGCTGCATGTTCTAAAAACACCACGACACCCAGACATAGCGCTTGGTAACAAAACATTTGAAATATAATTTCTCACAAGTAATATAAAAGGATAATCTCAATATACAGACTGCTTCCATAAAGTTCAAAATTAAAGGCTTATTTGGCAGTTGAACAGCTAATTTACTTGAGTCTTGAAAAATCTGGACCAAAATATGTATTTATAAATAAATCAACTGAGTAATTTTTGTTAAATCATTTCTTCTTTAAGTCACTAAGGTTTTCAATTTTTGGTTTTTCAGGTGAAAACTTATATGCCAGGCAATTCTGAAATATTACTGCACTAAGCCAGGCATGGTGGCACATACCTGTAATCCCAGCACTTGGGAGGCTGAGGCAGGAGGACTGCCACAAGTTTGAGACCAGCCTGGGCGATAGAGTTAGTTTAGGTGCAGCCTGAACTATACAGCAAGACCTTGTCTCAAAAAAATAAAAAACATAACAAAGTAAAAAAAGGAATATACTACTCTAATGATTAAAATGATAATCTTGCACTTTATCATTAAGATTTTCTCGGGGCTGGGGATTTAGTTCAGTGGCACAGCACCTGCCTGGAAAGCGCATGGTCATGAGTTTGATTCCCGGTACCAGAAAAAAACCAAAAAAAAAAAAAAAAAAAAAAAAAAAAATTAAGATTTTCTCCACATTTTTCCCCATATAATTCCCTGTCTCTTGATCTTTTTCAGTACTGTGGGTTAAACCCAGGACTTTCACACTGAGCTACACCCCCTGCTGTTAATCTTTTCTTTTTGAGGGGGGAGGTGGGCAGGGTCTCACTAAGTCATTAAGTTGCCCAGGCTGGGACGGAACTTGTGGTCCTCCTGCTTCAGCCTCCCAGGGTTCTGGGACTACAAGCATGCACCACCATGTCGGCTCCCCATATAAAATTTCTAAGATGTTTCCTTTGTTTCTGAGTAAGCAGGAGAAAAATGACCACAAAAACATTCGGTAGGATTCTGAGGCTACAAAATTCCCACTCTTTTCCACTTCACCTTTATGACCAAGTCTGGATCACATTTGTTTTACCCTTTCAACTGGAGAGGTCATTACCGAATAGTGTAAGGATTTCATTTGGTGAAAATGTATGTATGACACGGCCCAGGTCAGTGGTTAAAAAAATACACACATACAACTAAAGCTGATTGTTTTATCTTCATCTTAATTAACTACTGAATCTTAGACTTAAGGTCAAGCAACATTAGTACAGCTTCCTGTGTGAATTCAGGGCCATGAATTCTTTTCCTTACAATAAAATTTGTTTTTGTGTCAAACACACACACACACACACACACACACACACTACCATGGTGGTGACTGTAATGAAACAGTCCCAAGAAGGGTATGTCTTGGCTTTGCCCCAGTTCCATGTTAATTGCTAAAAGTTCATCTTCATGGTGCAAGTATCAGAAGCTCCGAAGCCACAGCCTAAGAAGCTGACAGCAGAGAAGGACGTCAGTTTACACACTCTCCCTGAGGTCTCTGCTGTAACTTCCCCGTTGTTTTTATTGCTGTCATTACGCTTATAACTTCCATCCCATAATGAGAATGTTATCAAAATATGATGCCACATCTAAAATCTTTAATATAAACAAGTGCTACAAATTACTGAAAAATCCCTGACCCTGAAAACAATTTCAGACTAAATTAATTTGTGTTACTCTTACATGAATAACGACTATTTGTGCAATGTGCACAAATTTACACAAATGACTACTTTCTAAGTGCACAGAGAGTAATTCAGAGCCACGAGGCTTGGTGAAACCCCTCATGCAGAGTGAAGAAGCCTAACAAAGGGACAAAGTCAAAGGACAGAGCCTGGGAACACGCCAGGGTCGACGAGTCTGGGAGAGGAGGTCAAACCACAGCCCAGACTGAAGAAGCAGGAGCAACGGAAGCGGAGCGAGGCCCCACGGAGGAGGGGGCCAGGATCAGGTGCTGCTGCTGGGAGGCGGGAGGTAAAGACCCGGAAAGACCGCTGGGCTTAGCAACACACGGGGGACCGAGAGCTCTGCCGAAGCTGTTTTGGTGGCACAGTAGGATCAAAGCCTGACAGAAGGATTGAGGACTGGGGATGTGGCTCAGAGGTAGAGTTCTTGCCTTGCACGCACAAGGCCCTGGGGTCGATCCCCAACACCACAGGACAGCTGAGATAACCGTACTACTAACTTCTATTGGTTTATTGGAAGGAACAGTTAATGTTTAATTGTTTGATTGGTCTTGCAAACCTATATCTATCTGAGTAACTACTTTGAAGATAACAATATGCAATATAACAACCATTGTTGATTTCCTATCATCTTGTTTTGAAGTTGTGTATCGTTTTATTGTTTTTTGTTGTTTGGGGTTTTTTTTCTCTTGAAAATAAAAATTAGAAAGAAGGCTCGAGAGAAAAGTGTGAAAAGCTGGTGGTAACGAACAGACCACGCTTTGGGGGTCTTTGCTGCAAAGATGAACAGGGAAGTAGGGTAGCTGGGAGGCAAGGAGGGGTCGCGCAGGGTTTTCTCAAGAGCCCGTGCGTGCTCAGGCGCTGCCCACGCCACGGAGGCGTCTGCGGAGAGGACAGAGCTGAGGCCGCGGGAGCGGGGAAAGGCAGGCGCTGTCCCTGGGCAGGAGACGGGGCGAGCTCAGGCACAGATGGAGGGGAGCTGGCTGCGGTGGAGAAGCGTAGCTCTGCCCAGGGGGGCCCGGAGAGGAGGAAGGCAGATGGAGGCGGTCGGGGGACGAGGCGGTGAGCGCATATGGAACTGTTTTTCCCCGGTTGCTTTTGTTTTCGTGGTGAAATAGGAAACCAGGTCACCGGCAGTGAGTGCATAGAGGACAGGAGCTACGGGAGTCTGGGGACAAAGCACAAGGTGCGTACGCGGATGAGACAAATTCCCAGGCGTGCTGGGGGCCGCCTGAAGTAACTGCATTGAAACCGAGAACTCCTACACGGCGGCGGCCCCCACTCCTCCCGCAGCAGCGCCAGGGGCGGCGGCGCAGAGGCGGAGCTGTGCTCGTGCAGCGGGAGCCGGCAGCTGGGCTGGGAGGCCTCAGGCGAGGACCAAGAGACTCGAGCCACGGGACTGACCACCCGGAGGGACTGTGGAGTCTGAACTGTCAAGGACGGGCAGCAGGCAGGCGGGGTGCAGCGCGGGGAGGCAGGGACCCAGGAGCAGCGGGCGCAGCGGTGGGCAGCGCTGGCGCACACGTCCCGCGGGGAGAGGAGCTTCAGGACCCACGAGGGTCCTCACGCAGGCGCTGAAGCCGCAGAGGAGCGGGAGCAGGCCGTGCGTCCACGGCAGTGACTGTGATCCGGGAGCTCACACGTGCAAGACCGAGGGGCCGTCCCGGGCCTCCAGGACACTGAGCGCCGAGGGGCACAGCGCGCGCAGCCCTGTTTCCTTGGCAAGCTCTCGGTCTTTGGACCCTGCTTACAAAATATCTGTCGATGCTTCCCTGAAGCTGGTGTTGAAATGGACTTCTACAGGCCTTTATTCCACGGGATAAATTATTTACTCCCTCAAATTTCTTTACCGGACCCCACTGCGGTGAAAATGGCTATTTCTCTGGGCGTGAGAGACTGTATGTTCAACAGGAGAGACTAGGGTAGGCTGCAGCGCTCCAATTTGAACACTGCTCACTGAAACCACCCTAACATCCTCTGGAAGGAGTGAGAGGTGATCTTTACCAGTGTGAATCTGCAGCAAGTGAAGACAGATGTCACTTTGTACTGAAGGTCACAGAGAAATTCCGTCACCAATGAGACGCACGCTGCCGTGAGCCCTTGCATAGCACACGTCTGATTTCCCTGAGAGCTCCTGATTGTCACTGGGAAGGACGTCAGAGTATATTCTCTGCCTATGACCCTTCCACTTGAGCAATCTATAGCACCCTTGATTTTTCTTTGCTAAGAATATTTTTATCTTAGTTACTTTTTTTTTTTTTTTTTGAGACAAGGCCTCACTATGCAGTTCAGGCCAGCTTTGAACTCCCTGCAATCTTCCTGCCTCAGCCTCCCCAATGCTGGAATTATAGGCAGGCTGTGAATCTCAGCTGGAGGTTTTAAGTCTGAACAACATGCCTCGGTCACAATCCGAACTGTAGTGAAACAGGTAAGTCATTAAAGGAGGAACATCTGTGCAACCTACATGCAAAATACATGGCTCTGATTTTGTGTTTTATTTTAAAAGATAATGAAGATAGAGTAATGCTACACACATCACTGCACCAGCTAAGCATCCCTGAACTTTTTGGCTGAGGAAGAAGAGAAGGAAATGAAAATACACAGGGTCAGACCGCTGCTCCTTTCACCCGGAACATGTGCCCACTTCTCACTGGTGCTTAGGTCTCAGTTTCAAGGTCACTCCTTCCTGGAGCCACTCCCAGAAACCCTCCAACACCCCAACCCAACCTGCAGCCGTGCCTCAGGTCTGAGAGTAGAGTGATTCAGCCCACTTCCTCATCACCTGCATACAGAAGGAGCTGGGGGTGGGGTGGGGTGGCAAAGCTCTTTTCTCCCCAGCTACCGGCTTTGGCACAGTGCGTGGTCCCAAGTAGGGGG